CATTTGTATAATATTTTACAGCAAAAAAATTGCTATACTCTGACATTCATGGATCTGATTCTGATGAGGTAGATGACGCAAGATCCAGTTTTCGTTTTTCTCAACCACAAAATCATCCAAGTGTCTGGAAGACAACCCTTACTTTAATAATGACAACTCTAACCAGTATTTTAACTATCTTTTATTCAAAAGTGAGAAGTATTGCAGAGCGTGCTTCCACCATCTTCAGTACAAAGAGAAAACCTGCATATGTTTTTGGTAAGCTCAAATTAATTTCAGGTAACTAATGTTATTAAGGAGATATTCTAAAATCTTGTGTATTCTAGGAAACCAAGTTTACCATCCTAATAGGCAACAACCCTCTGGTGTTGTTTCAAGAATCTGGCTATCATTTCTTGAAACAGTCAGCAACACCTACCATTGGATCAGGCGTACTTCTGTCTCAAATAATAGGATATTTAATGGAGGCCAACAAAGGAGAAATAGTTGGCTCATACCTATTCTCCTGCTAATACCACTTATTTTACTCACCGGTAAGTGTGTACTCAGTAGAACCGACCTACACAAATCTTGGCTTTCATCTAGGTGTGAGGCAATTCGCACTCGTTTTCTTATCAGAACATCTGCACATCTTTTCTCAATTTGCTAAGATAAAAATTGCAGAACAAATAGTCTAACATTTATCATTCAATTTGATCTGCATGTAGTAGAATTATTATTGTTGGTTACAGAGTGTGTCATTTGTAGCATGGCTGGAGGTCTACATTTAATGTAGAAGTAGAATTTGATACAAATATTGGTTGTGCTGTGTTGCAGGATATTTCTTGGCTGAGCAATATTCCTTTCAATATCTAGACATCATTACATGCATGAGCAATATCACCATTGCTTGCTAACATTAGCCTCCTGCATATGATTTGCTTATCATTATTTCATATACCTTCTGACCTACTTCTACTAAAAATGTTGACCTGTATGTTTCTAACATTTACAGCATATGATTATGCATTTGTTTTGTTACTCCCATATGGCAAACTGTAGCAAGCAATAACAATTAAAGTCTTCACATTCTCTTTATCTAGCATGTGTCTATTTGTGATGGTGGTGGTTGTGGTTAGCTTTTATACTCTGTAACTAAATTATCTTGTCTCTTTCTGGGAATTTTTAAAACTTCATTTTTTTAAAAATCTTATCTATTTTTTAAAAAAATTGTTTAATTGAAGTGAAGCACATTATAGCTTTTTTAACATTTGTCTGACGTGACTGATTAATATCTGTGTGTTGACCCTATAAGCAATAGAGATTTTTAACCAGTTATTTTTCACTATATACCACATACCTATTTCCCTTATTTTGATTAATGAAAAACTTGCGCATTAAACTCTTAAAAAAAGGAATTTTAACAATTATGTAGTGTGTAGCTTTGCATTTGTGTGCTTCCTATATTTTTATTGAGTTCGGGTTGAGAAAGGAATATTTGGTAAGCCTCATTTTCATCTGAAGACCTTTGGCTTACTCCGTCGTTATGTTGTATCTTCAGTTTTTTTTTTTTAGAGATAAAACTTTTGAAAGATTATCTTGCAGAGTTTTTTATTATGTCCCTTTTGCCAGATGTATGTAAGTTTTTTCTGACAAATTCAGAGTTTATTTAAGTGTAAAAAAATAATATCTATGAGGTAAGTCTAAGGTCTTTAGCTTGGATAGATGGGGGAGAGCAAACAACGATCAAGAGCCTTCATGTTATTTCTTTAGCTCATCTCAGGTGAGTCTATCAAAGCCATTGAAATTCCTTTCTCTCTCCTGAGACTTCATATCATTCAACTGAATTTCAATACTTTTTCCTTCATGTTTGTTATCTTATTTTTTCAATTTTCTAGTTTTCTTGGGTTCTTGTTTAGTTCTTGGGAAAGTACTACATCTACAGTGAAATTTGCACCTAGTGTTGCATCCTTGGGCTGATCATGGAAAATAATCTTTTGTATTTTGTTATTCCAGGATTGTGGAGGTCATCAGAGGACCATCAATCGTCTATTTCTCAAATTACTTCAGCTGGTTTAAAAGGCCTTGGCAACTGGATATGGACCGTTCTACAACTTCCATTTGAATTGGCTTATGCTATAGTCTCACTTCCCTGGCATTTCTCGTCAAACTTTATGTCAATCTTGTATGATATAATTTTATGCCCCCTCATACTTCTTCAGTCCATATTTGATATCCTTTGCTCCTTTAGCTGGAACATAGTTTCTCTGTTCCAAATGTTACTCGCTCCAATATTAAGCTTGAAGGTAACAGTAATTTATAAGCTATATAGGGGAGTGTACTTGTTTTCTAAACCAAGTTACATAATTCTTATTATGTTTTGTAGATGAATTTGTGGGACACATCGTCTGAGCATGTTATCCAAGGAAGTGAATCTTATTTAGATCTACCTACTGGAATAGACAATGATGGCATCAAAGCTCTTTTAAACTCGGCTTTGCAAAAACAGGAAGAGTCCATCTTGCTACGAATGTCAAAAACTCATGATGGTCTTAGGGCAGATTTCCTTTCAAAAATGGCAGCGCAAGAAAAGCAACTCCGTGCTGAGTTGGAAGCCAAGGAAGGACTTGGGCAGCAGTTAAATTTGAAAGTTACCCATTTACAGGTGAGTTTACTTTGTTAACATTATTCATACTATTGATGAGAGCAAAGTCGAAATATGTTTCCTTTCTGTCTAGGATGAATTACGACGGCTACGCAGGAGATTTTCTACATGCTGCAGAGGATCTGAACCCTTACCTTTTGATGCTGTGAGAGGAAAATTATGGGAAGAATTAAAGAAACTTTTGTCAAGTCCTGAAGGGTTGGTTCTACTAGGTGCAGCTGCTGTTTATAATTCTCCTGCTGACAAATCTCAAGCCAATATTCCACAATTTAATGATACTGAAATACGAGCTTGGATTAGCTCTAGCTTCCTCGACAAAGATGATTTTGAGAAAGCTTTGGCTAATATGACGAAGTATTTCAACGAAGGTATAATATAACAGAGTTTTCTGTAAAAGTAAATTATTTTTGGTTTTAGTCATCTTCATTTTTATAATAACTTTTTCAGAGCTTGAGAGGCGTAGTGCTAATATGATGGCAGCAACTGCAGAGGAAATTAATGCTAGGATAGCAAGACAAAGTCAGATTCATTTAGCCCAAATCTCAAAACTTCAGTCAGAGTTGTCGACCTCATTTGGGTATCAAACTAGTCACTTCCAGAACAGAGCAACATCATCAGTCACTGATTCAACACTCTCTGTAGATGAATCAATAGTGCGTAAAATAGTTGATGCAGCCATTGCCGTTTATGATGCTGACAAAACAGGCATGGCAGACTATGCTCTTGAGTCTCAAGGTAATTAAGAACTCTGATTCCCACTTAAATTTCAACTCCTTGGTGGTCAGTTATCATTATCATGTCGTTTAATCACACTTAACTTTATTTCCAGGTGGACAGGTTGTTAGTACACGCTGTACAGAGACATATCAGGTGAAGTCTCCTACTCTCTCTGTGTTTGGAGTCCCTCTTTGGTATCCATCTAATAGTCCTCGTACTGTAATCCAGGTATGTTCAATTTGTAGTCTCTAAAAGTTTCCTGGATTAAGAGTATCCTCAGCAAAGATCTATCCTCATCTCTCCTTTTGTTTCATACAGCCTGGTATGCACCCTGGTGAATGTTGGGCTTTTGTTGGATCTCAAGGATATCTTGTGATTCAACTCTCCCATCGAATACGTGTAAAGGGTTTCACATACGAACACATTTCTCCTGTTCTCCTGCCAACTGGAAAAATGAACTCCGCTCCCAAAGAATTTTCAATTTATGTGAGTGGTAACTACTGTATCTAAAATACTACATATCATGAAAAAAAGACATTATCTTAAAAGAGTGATATATTGCAGGGTCTGAGTACAGAAGGTGATCCAACTCCAGTTTTGCTTGGTGACTACCACTACCTTCAAAACAGCACTAGCATGCAGTTTTTCCCAGTACAAGTAAGTTATTCTTTTTTTAGCGTTGCCCCAAATAACTACAATTTATATTTAAATTTAAAAAATTATCTGATTTCAGCAGTCGAATGCACCACCTCTACAGTTGATTGAGATTCAGGTAAAATCTAATCACGGCAACATAAATTATACATGTATGTATCGCTTTAGAGTTCATGGCACAATTGCATAAATTATCGTTAGGTCTTTTTTTTTTTGTTGTTAACTTCACTGAATAGAGCCAAAGCCTATTCATTATATCATTCTCACAATTTAAATTATTGTTTTGTGAGTTCTCATAATTTATTTTTCTTTATTTTTTGTTTTCAATTTTGGGATAATCTAATGTAAGAGCAAAAGTACCCTAAAGCTATGCATTTAGCCTGGTCAAATATTTGGATTAGTGTTACTTGGTCATAAAAGTGGAGGGCTGACATAGCTTTATCTTAAGTTCCTCAGTGTTTGTTAGTGTTGCTTCCACTTACAAAATTATGATCTCTGCCTTGTATTTATTTTATGTTTGATTTGCTGCCACAATATTTTAATGAAGTGTCCTTACTTGAAACAAGTTTAGGCCTTTGGCAATACCTACTTTTGACTGGTGTTTTTCTAATCAAAATGGATTAACTACATCTTAAAACTTCTTGTGGGTTTCCTATGTATATTTAGTAGAAGCTAAGGTAAACCAAAGTCAATATTTTTGAGTGTTTAAATATTAAATATTTATTGTTAGTGATATGTTATGATTTTACCTAGTCCTTGAACAAGTATTTGCTAATATTCCTTTTTTTTGTAAGGCCTAGTACTTTTATTCAAAGGGAGAAGTTGTTATATGAAACTGGTCGCTTTATAACCACTGATCTCTTCGTTTAAAAGCTTTTAACTACCATATATCAAAAAACTCAGGAAGAAGAAAATTTGTGACTTAAAACTTACAAAATTGTTTTGGCAGGAACTGAAATGGTTTCTCATGTGCTGATCTCAATGGTCAGAGGTCTTGTGTTGATCATTGATTCATGATATTGGATCTCAATTTCAAATGATAAGGTTTTGGAGTTCCAAATAAATAGCTAGGATTTAGCTCAAAGTTTTACATGTAGTTTTGTGTCAGTACAAACAGCTATTTTATATTGCCATACAAACATAGTGTGCTGGTTAGTCTAAGAATTGAGAATTGTTTTAATTCCTATGCAGTAGCACTGAGAAGTGCTTTGCACTATGAAGGTACACTAATGTCCATGAATATGAAGTCTTATATTGTGTGTGCCTCATTGAGCAACAAATGTGATAAATGATCTAGTTGTAAACTTTACCACCTAAAGAGACCTTCTATGTTATGTCTAAGACTTAATAATTTATTTTACTATACATTTTCTGTCATGTTTAGATATACCCCTTAGTGCTACTTGAAGAGAATATTTCCTGAATTTCCTCTAAAGACATTGGTTTTGTACTTACTCTGTGAGTTCACAAGTCATAAACTAAGAAAGCTGGAATGTCTTTCGCTGTATAGTGCTGCTTTCTTTGTTTGCTCTCATAAAACCTTTTGTGCCATGAAATTGTTTTGCTACTTTTTATTCTAGACTTGCAAAGGAATATACTGTAGTTTGTGCTTGTCTTTTTCATATTTGGCAGAAACTCTTACTGTCAACTCCAATATCCCCCTCTTACCGATCCACTACTCATTCATTTTTCTTATCTACCTTATATGTAATATTGTCATATAGATCTTGATCTTCCAGATTGAATCGTATTGTCCCAGTTCTTCCTTCTTTGCATTTTTGCTTTCTGATCAAATTTTGTTGATACCAAAGTTGCCTGGTTTTTACCATTTTACAAATGTAATTTTAGCATGTGAAAATAACTTACTGTGTTGTAAAATGATGTTTAGAGTAGTTTGCATACCGTACAAAGAAAACTGTATTTGTCTAACTTATTTTCAGATGCAATAAATTATTGCATTCATTCAACACTGAGTATATGTTCAATTTCCTCCCGGATCGCCATCATACAGGAGGGTGGGTGCGACCAACGCCGTCACTTTATTTTTGCTTAACTGTTCAGCACGCAGGCCTGCGGGTTGGTCTGCTCCCACTCATCATCTCTGTCCGTGGCGCCTTTTGTCCTCTAGCGGATATGCAACCCACCCCACTCTCGTGCATGCGGTACAACATACCCGAAATAAAAATGTCAAAATAAAATGAGACGGCGGGTCTTTCTCAAATTACAGTGGCTAGTAAAAGCCTTTCCAAAAAGTCTTTTCCAAATTGTTTCGACTTAACAGATTTGTAACATTTTGACTTCAATGTTTTGCTGTGCTTTATTTTCCATCGCGTATACCTACTCAGCGAAGTAATGTATGCAGTACAGTACACAGTACCCATCTCTGCGCCGCGAGTGTTGTGCTCTACAAGCAGCGCACGCGTGCTTTGCCCGACAGGCCCGTTGCTCATGGCCCTACATCGCGTCGCCGAACACAGGCAGCCCCCCCCCCCCCCTCACACGAACACACACACACACACGTACCACACAGGCGCGCGCTCGCGCTCCTGACGCAACACGCGGAAGGGCAGTAAGGCTCCAGTGAGCTCCAGGCGCGGCGCGCAGCCGCGTACAGAGCGTTCTGGGTGGACCCGCGCTACTATTTCGATTGCGGGTCTTAGTATGGTCTGAGTCACCCGCGGGCGCGGTGGACCACCTCAGCAAAAAACGGGATTAGCGCGATGTAGAGAAAAATGCCAAAGGTTGGAAACAAAATAGACCAAAAGACGCGGTTTCTCAATTTTTGCTATTAAAAGAAAAAGAAAGATTTTCATCGCGGCCGTTCATCTCTGGCGGAGACATATCTCCCCCCACATCGCGTGGCGCGGCGGCCTGGGTCAGCTGGGGTCAGGTGGTCGCCGTGGGTATCGGCCTGGTTCCGCGTCTCCAGCGCTAGACTCCAGGCCAGACACGGGGGCAGTGCAACCCAGGCCAGGGTGGGGCAACAGCACCACACGCGGGGGGCAGGGTTCAGAGAACACTTTGTGGAGCACGGCGTGGCGGCGCGGGGCGCGGCACGCCCGGGAGGGAAGCGCTGATGAGTCCATCTCTTCACCCGCCCGCCGCAGCCCGCCTTGCTAGGAAGCGCAGACGGGGGGCATCCCTCCGGCCCCAGACAGCCATCCCCGCCGTCTTGTCTTCCCTTTCAGTAGGATTACTCCGGCAGACTATTGTGCCCGGGTTCGGGCCTCTTCCAGCCCCAGCGTTTGCCCCAGCCCCCTCGCAGTGCCGCAAGCTGCGCAAGCCGGCCCGCAGCTCTGCTCATCTGGGCCTCGCCTTGCCTCGTCCTGCTATGGCGGGCCTGCCCGGCTTTGGCCTGGCCCGGCCCCTGGCCCAGGAGGGGCCGATGATGGTCCGGTCATTCGGGTTTTCTCTTTCTTGTGCAGAGCGGTGCTGGCCGAGCGGAGCGCGCCTGGGCGTTATTGCGAGATGGCCCGGCCCGAAAGAGAATGTCTTCCGCCTTCTTTTTCGGCATCCAGCCCCGTCCTGGACCTGGGCCTGTTGTGGGAGGCGGGGGTCTTGGCGACGAAGGGACCGCAGACAGGATGGGGCTTAAATCGCGAGAGTGTGCGGCGGCGTGGACAAGTATGGACAGTGGCAGCAGGCGCGGTTTTAAGTCCGTCTGACGGAGGGGGCGATTTGCTGTGGGTTGCCTACATTCAGGGGTTTTGTCGGACAAATTGCCTACCCACCCCAGGGGGCGATTAGGGCCGACCGGGGGGGGGGGGGGGTCGCCCCTTCGCCCCCCCATAAACCGCACTTGAGTGGCAGCCCTCCCAGTGGAACACCAGCTCCCTTACGGCGCTTATGTCGCGCTTTTAGAAGAACAAAGGGAATCAAAAAGAGCGATATAAGCGACTAAAAGGCGCTGGTGTTCCGCTGGGGAGTGCCAGAGTGGGCCCAGGAGTGGCGGCAGTGGAGTGACTCTGGAGTGCTCTAAAGCGACTACCGCGCAGGCGGGGCGGGGCTTCACCCTGGCGATACTACGCGGAACTCGAAACCAAAGTGCGCGGGAGCCGAAGGCGGCTGGACGCAGGTTGGACGCAGGCCAGGCGAACCAATATTATGCATAACCTACTGAACTTTGCGAAAACGGACTGAGGGTGGAGTGGAGAGCAGGACGGGGGTGGAGTAGTTAGAAGTGAGGGAGGGGGGCGTTGGCGGCGGCGGCGGGCGTGGTCGTTGGCTCGGCGCAGAGACTAGCCCGGCCAAGTAGGGCCGCCCACCGCAAGCGCGAGGTGCAGCAGGAAGCGCTCGTGGGTGACAAGCAGCTGGCTGGGCCTGGAGCTGCTGGCCGGGCTGGGCGAGACTAGAATCTGGACAACCTGCACCCGGCACACACGCAACCCCACGAGCGAGTCGGGGCGCGGCGGCAGGGCAGGGCAGGGCAGGGCAGGGCGGAGCGG